GAGCACAGGATGCTCTCCACTGCACACCTGTAGAAGGAGGTGAGGACTGAGCTTCCCAGACCAGCTCGTCTCAGCCGCCTGAGGAAGTAGAGTCTCTGATGAGCTTTCTTGATCAGGCTGGTGGTGCTATTGCTCCAGCTGAGGTTGTCAGCTAATGTAATAATAATATATAATAACTTATAACTAAAACTTATAATTAAGTTTTGACATAATCTAAGATTAAAGACCTAACTGTTAGAAGTAACTCCAAAGTGTACGACTGATAATACTTTTCACTATTCCTAATGGTGATAACAAGAATACTTATGATAAAGTCTATAGATATTTGATAGGGCTTTTCTCATTTCTGTAGTATACCGTATTGTTCACCGAGTCAGGTTACATTCAAGTCATTTTTTACTCTGTGTATTTGTGTTTCCTCTTGGGTACTTTGTTTTATTTTTATGACTGTAATAGGCTGGTGAAGATTCTCAGTAATATGACTGTAATAGAATGAAAATGACTAATAGAAGACTGGCAAAACTCAATGAGATGGATTTATAGAAAAAAAACAATGTATATACATATGAACAACTTATGTTATGTATTTCTCTGGTGTTAATCTGTACATTACGATAATTTCAACAAAAAGGGAAATGTTCAGGCTGTGACTACTCTGGTTATTATATACAGGAGTATGTATGTTAATAACAACTTTTTATATAACTCATTTTATTTCTAAAGGAGTTATTTTGCATTTGTTGAACTGGACCATTTACATTTTGTATGCACCGATGTTTAAACTGCAGTGGTTGTTTGTGTGTCCCAGGACAAGGAGCATCCACGTGTACTCATTCCTGAGTTATGTCGACTCTTTTACCAGCTGGGATGGGTGACGGGGACAGGCGGTGGGATCAGTCTCAAACAGGGGTTTGTATACAGATGTACTGCTTAATGATGTTTTGTAAAGCAACTGTGTTCATCTATTTTATTCAAATTATGTTTAAAATATGAAGATAGTTTGACATATCCTTATGTAACCTATTTTTAGCAATCCCAAGAGTCACATTTTGTTTTGGAGAATTCTGGAGATTATTTGTACTAAAAAAGTTCACTCGCAGGTCAGTCATGTTTTCTAAGTGTTTGTTAATCTAAGTTGAACGTAAAAGACTTCAGTTTTTCCAACAACAAGCTACAATTCAAATTGAAAGCTTGGACAGATCATTACTACCATCTTTAAACATGTGTTTTTATAGTTGGCAGCTACAAGAAAAGCATCACCCATTAACAAATCTCCCTATGAAATATGGACTGACAGACATTTATTGAAGTTAACAAGGAATCTTTATGAAACCCCCAGCAATCTAAATAAGTGCCACTCACTGCCGCTTCATATACATTCATGTTTCAGTCAGACAAAAAGAAAACAAGCAAAAATAAATAAACAAATAAATAACTGCAACCCCAAAATGATTCTGTAAAAAATATATTTTCATTTTGAAATATGGTTGTCCATCTCAGAAAAAAGCAACTCATGTACAAAATTGTGCTAAAGCATTATTTGTCATCCATTTTTTGTATAAACATTTGATTCAACTCTATATCTATAATGAATAAATGTGACCACATTAAGAATCTCAAATACATTTTTGTTTCTAATAAACAATTTTACATTTTATAGTAATAACTTAGATTTAAGCAGGCAAAGATTGAATTGATCAAGGAGCCTGAGTGCACTTTATCCTAATGCTACAAAATGTTTCAGACAGAAAGCTTACAGTTTGAGAGCAGGCTCATTTTTAATTTTGGAGTCTTTTTTTTTTTTTTTTTTTCCTTAGTATCTCTGGTTTGACTCGGGAGTGACTCAGACTGAGGGAGCCTTGCCAAACCCTCCTATCAAAATCAATAAGATTCTCCTATCTGGACGTATTTGTTGCTAGATAAAGAGGAATGCAGTGGCTTTATTCTTTGGGTTCTGTTGGGAAAATCTAAGGCTCTAAATAGGATCATTTCAACAATTTTAAAGGGATAAACTGTGACTCTTGTCTAATTCTACAGTTTTGTTTTTATTTAGTTTCATTTCAGACGTTATCCCATTAGCTGTTCTCACCAAATCCACTGAATATTTATTATTTCCAACAAACTCAAACCCCTATTTTGGAAATTGAATATACCGGTACTGTACATGTAGTTCTTTTGACATTACAGCAGTTTTTTTTATTCAAATAATATAAAATAAAATGGAGCAGCAACGTATTTAAAATACTATGAGGTTTGGGTGCGTGAAAGAAAGATTTAGGTGAGTTTGCTTTTCTCTCCTTTTACAAAAACAGTAGCTTTAACCCTCATGGACTATGATGTTTGCAGATGACATTGTGATGAGAAAAGGGAACAGGTGGAAGAGAACTTGGAGAGGTCGAGGTATGCACTTGAAAGAAGAGGAATGAAAGTCATCCGTAGTACGTGTGTGAATGAGAGGGAGACAGGTGGAACAGTGAGGCTACAAGGAGCAGAGGTCACAAATGTGCAGGACTTCAAGTACTTGGGGTCCACTGTCCAGGAAAATGGAGAGTGTGGTAAAGAGGTGAAAAAGAGAGTCCAGGCAGGATGGAGTGGATGGAGAAAAGTTCCAGGAGTGATTTGCGATGAACTGGTTACAGCAAAGGTCAGAGGAAAAGTTTACAGGACAGTGGTGAGACCAGCTATGTTGTATGGTCTGGAGACAGAGATACTGTCAAAAAGACAGGAGACAGAACTGGAAGCGGCAGAAATGAAGATGTTGAGATTCTCCTTAGGAGTGACGAGTCTGGATAAGATTAGGAATGAGATCATCAGAGGTACAGCACAGGTTGAACAACTGTGAGATAAAGTTAGAGAGACCAGACTGAGATGGTTTGGACATGTCCAGAAGAGAGACAGTGGGTATACTGGTAGAAAGGATGTTAGAAATGTAGCTGCCAGGAAAAAAGACTAAGAGGAAGACCAAAGAGAAGAGAGAGGACATAGAAAGTAGTTGGAGTGAGGACAGAGTGAGATGGAGGAGGATGACTTGCTGTGGCGACCGCTGAAGAGGGAAAAGCCGAAAGAAGGAGAAGAAGTTGCTTTAACTCATTTAACGTAGATCATTTTCTTCCAGATAAAAAACAAATATAATATCCAGTTGTTTGTGTTCAGTTAGCTATTTCATTGTTGTCTTAAAAATGAATCCATTGCCTCATTATTTCTGTATAACTTACAGAGACCAGATTTACATCGCACCGTCAGGCGTCCAGAAAGAGAGAATACAGGTGAGCTGGTTCCAATCAAAATATGAAGCTGTGCTTGGTTCAGATGACTCACAGCTCTGACTGAGTGGCACAAACAGAAAAAGAAAAGTGTAACTGTTTCTGTCAAATCATTTTAATTCTTGTTCATTTTTTTCCCAGCCAGAAGATATGTTTGTGTGTGATGTGCAGGAGAGGGACATCTGTTCTCCACCTGCATGGAAAAAGTTAAAGAAAAGCCAATGTACACCACTTTTTATGAACGCCTACACTATGAAAGGTTAGAAACTCTACCTGATTACAAATCTCCCATAATCTGTCTGCGGCCAGCCATAGAGTCAGTCTGGAACCAAAATGTTCTCATTTCGTCAGTGTCAAAGTCCAATCTGTGGAAAATTACTTATTATCTTTGACTGTTTTTAACAAAACTTTTTAAATAGAAAAGAATGAACTATATGAGAAATGGATTTTGAACGCCTTTTGAAGCAGAAGAGATGAGGAGGAAGTGAAAGACTGCAAAATTTATTCCTAAGATGCTCAGGTCCAAAAACCAAACCTAAGTCTTGTCAGAGTTGAAAAGCAGAAAATTAAGGGTCATCCAGGTTTTAATGTCTTTAAGACATGCTTGTAGTCTAAGTAACTGATTGGATACATTAGGTTTCATGGACAAATATGAGTATAATCAGCATAAATAAAGAGTATTTGTCCAAGCACTGAACCCTGAGGAACTCCATGACTAACTTTGGCGAGGGCTGAGCTTCCCAGTCTCAGCCGCCAGAGGAAGTAGAGTCTCTGATGAGCTTTCTTGATCAGGCTGGTGGTGTTGTTGCTCCAGCTGAGGTTGTCATTCATGTGTACACCCAAGTACTTGTAGCTGGAGACCACTTCCACTGCAGATCCTCTTATGTTCAGGGAGGTGTACGTGTGTTTGTTCCTTCTGAAGTCCACAATCATCTCCTTTGTCTTCTTCACATTGATGTGAAGGTTATTCTCTTCTTTTAATTGAATAAAAATGAAAAGACCAGATTCTTGTAAAAAATAAAAAAAATAAAGGGGGGGGGTTGCTTTTTTAAATTGAAAAAAATATGAACTGTGCAGACCTATGTGATTTTTTTTTTAAAATTGTGAAAAAATAATTGCCATATTTTTTGGACTATAAGGCAATAAGGCACACTTAAAATCCTTTAATTTTTCTCAAAAATCAGCAGTGAGCCTTATAATCAGGTGCACCTTATGTATTAATTCTGGTTGTGTTTTCTGACCTCGTACTGATCTTATGTGGTACACAGAGCTCAAAAATCTGTCAAAATGAACTTGTTTCGTTTAATGCGACTTATAGTCCAAAAATATTGTAAGTATAAAAATAAAGCAAAATGTTGAAGAGTATTTGCAAAATAAATGACAGGAAAACCACTAAAACTAGTACTTTTTAGTTGTTTGTATAACAATAAAATTCAGTTTTGTGTTAGATTTGTTCAACGCTTGAAAGAGCTGCTGCAGAGGGACCAAAGAGCCACATGTTGCTCCACAGCCGCAGGTTGCAGACCCCTGGTCTACATTATGGACTCCTCTCAGATTCTCTGGCAGGCTGTTCCACAGTCTTGGTGCATAGCTACTAAAAGCAGAATCACCAAAAGTTTTTGTTCTGCTCAGTGGAACAGCTAAAAGAGTTATACATATTATTCTCATGTACTTCCTTCAAGTCACAATATTCATTCATTCATTCAGCCGTTGTTTCTACAGGTTAGTCTCATTGAGTCTCGAGGACTCATTTACAAGAGAGATCTGTTTTAAACAAAGAACACAGATGAGGTATAGACAACAATAGAGAATCATATAAAAGCATACAAAATAAAAAGTAAATAGAAGAAATTATATAAAAACAAATCCAAAAGCTACATTATGAAACGATGTAAAATACTAAAAACAGGAACATGTCTGCATTGATTTTTGCAATGAACTTAACAGTTGTTAAGTGGGTTAAGGGGTCGTAAGGGACTTACGATCCCTTACCTCCTACAGATGTGCAGTGGAGAGCATCCTGTGCTCCAGCATCAATGTGTGGCATGGAGGCTGCACAGCTGCAGAAAGAAAAGCTTTACAGAGAGTGGTGAAGGCTGCACAGAAATCTGTTGGAGTCAGCCTCCCCACCATCACAGACATTTACACCTCCATATGCAGGAAGAGGACCACCTGCATCATGAAGGACCCCACTCACCCAGCATACACACTTTTTGCCCCGCTCCCCTCAGGCAGGAGGTTGAGGAGCATTAAGTGTAGAACCACTAGACTGAGGAACAGCTTCTACCCTGAGGCTGTTAGACTCCTGAATCTCTAACCAGAATAATCACTGTGAAAAAATCACATCATGTTGCTGCTGATCTGTTTCATGTTGATGTGTTCATGCGTGCTCATCTGCTCACACAGACTCATGTTCATGTTTGTGCTGATGTTCGACGTAATGTTTTTATGCTATTAGTGCTTAGTGTATATTTAATTGATGTTTTTCTTAGTTCATATCTTAGATGTTATTGTTTTTCTTTTACATTTTATTGTTGGATTTAACTGGGACCCTGTGTACATAATTTTGTTCCACCACATGTACCACATGAGGTGCGAATGACAATAACAAATCTCTGATTCTGACTGAAATTGTAAAAATATCAATAAATATTGAAAATCAATTGATAATCACAGGTTATTGCAGTTCTGGACACATTTAATTTGGTGAATGAAGGTGTAAAAATGGCTCTTTTGATCATAAAGGTTGCAGACCCCTGATCTAGACACTTTTAAATGTAGACCAAAAACCCTTCTTTTCAGTCTGGATTTGATGTGTGATAGTTTTATCCTATGGGAGGGAGTGGTGGCCTAGAAGTTAGAGTAGGTGAGCCTGTGATCAGAAGATTGCTGGTTCAACTCCCGGTACCAACAACATCAAAATGTGGGAGGGGTTGGTGATGGTGAAGCACCCACACTTGTCTCCACCTTAATTTGCTCCACTCTGTGCCCTTGAGCAAGGCCCTTAACCCCCACCATCTGCTCCCCTGGGTGCTCTTGATAGCAGCTCTTTGCTGCACACAGAGGGCTGTGGTAGCTCGGTGGTCTGTGGGTAAGTCAGGAAGGGCATCCAGCGTAAAAATAATGTCCAAGTCTTCGTGCAACTCAGTTCGCTGTGATGACCCCTGATGAAGGGAGCAGTTGGAAAAAATGACAAAATAAACAATCCTATGTGATAGCTCTTTTTTCTCTCTGCTGTAGACACTTTTTTTTTTGCATTTGGCTCATATATAAGGTGCTATAGACATAAAGCTTGATTGATTCATTGACTTATATTTAAAACCTGATAAGCCAACTTATTGATGTCTCATGCTTAGTATCTTCTGAACAATCAAACGGGCGTTCAACACACATCAGAGGCAAGACTAATAATGAGAAAAGTTTTAATGACTGTTTTTCATGAGAAAGATGAATCATTCTTGAATAACAGCATAGTGCTTTAGAGTGTATTTTGCTCCCAAATAATCTGATGGTGTTCTCTTAAGTTATATTGTTGAGATTTTAGATATTATTCTTGGCTTGGACCATTTTTCTGCACTGAAATAACAACATGCTAATTAGGTGTGCAAGATTAAATACACGATTGTGGAGCAGACTGCCTACAGTTAATATCAGGCCTAAATATTTGTCTTCTTAGTTCATTCAAAACTAAACAAAAGGAAACTTCCCATGTGAATTTCTAGTCCTAGCCAGCTTTAAATATTTATTTTTAATATTTGCTAATTTTGCTATCATTTATATATATATATATATATATATATATATATATATATATATATATATATATATATA